TTACATATACACACACACACACACATATATAAACATATATACATGAAAATACTAAAATAATCTAATACTTACTACTTGTACTCCTACTACTATTCCTACTTCATGGTTTTTCACTTGTCACTGGACTTCAGGGTACAGATAACTGTGATAAACAAGGAACTACAGTACCTTTATGTTGCCATCAGTCTTGTTTTACATTTTTGTTCTTGCAGAAAAATAAAAAAAGATATTCCTGCTGGAAGTGTCCCAGGTCACAGCAGAGGGACTACAGCTAGTTGCATTTACATAAAACGAGCAAACACCAAACCTGTCTATAAATAATGTAAAACTGATTGCAGTGCACTTGCTTATGAAATACTGCATCAACTGCTTTGAGTTTTTTGGGAAAGGAGTTATTTTAGGAAGGCAGCAGTTTGCTTCTGCTTTGGTCACCTTCAGACTAAAGATCAGTTTGTCCCTCTGGTAGAGTGAAGCTATTCCTCCAACCTGAGGTTGATCAGAGTATCATCTATAACAGGTTAGATGTTATTTGTTCACATCCTTTCTACAAAACCCCTCTGAAAATCACTTTATGTGAGTACCATCATCTTATATTTCTAACAAGAACAAAAATGTCAGGAAATAAATGCAGAAATGTAGCTCAAAGACATAAATAATGATCAGTGGGTGGACACAAGCAGGCAGGCATGTAAAAATCTAACAGAACAGAGTGTTTAACAAAAATCAAACAAATGGCAGGGTGGAGCAGTCAGCAGAGCTGTTGCCTCTCAGCAAGAAGGTTGCTGGATTGAATCCCAGCCTGGGGGTTTTCTGGGTGGAGTTTACATGTTCTCTTCGTGCATGCGTGTTTTTTTTTCGGGTACTCCGGTTTCCTCCCGCAGACCAAAAACATACATTTTAGTCTGATTGGTAACTCTAAATTGTCTCTAGGTGTGAGTGAGAGAGTGAATGGTTGTTTGTCTCGTTTGTCTCTATGTGTCCCTGTGATGGACTGGAGACCTGTCCAGGGTGTCCCCTGCCTCTCACACAGTGATGGCTGGATATGGGCACCAGTGACCCCCGCAACCCAAAAAGGAAGACGCACATAAGGATAATGGATGGATGGAACCAGGTTTGGCAAAAATCCAGGAGTGAACGAGTGGAACCAGTTTACAACTGCAGGTAGGAGTTATTATAGAGCAGATCAGGTGAGTTGACAACATCAAGACAGCATGTGTGTGACACGTGAATGGTTAACTGGACATCATTAACTTCACGCAGACTCTCTCACTGGTACATTTTCATCTTTAAATCACTTCTTGGTCTGCTGCCTTCATACATCTCCTTCTACATGTCTCTGCGTGAGTGCAGTTACAGCGTGCGCTCTTAGGACATTATTACCTGCAGTGCTCCCTCAGTGCAAACTGAACTAGGCAATAGGGCCTTCTCCTACTCCGCTCCTGTTTCCTGAAATATCTTACAAAAAGATTTGAAGCTCTCGACCTTGACCTCTCTAAGTGTCTTTAAGAATCTGTTGGACTCCTGGCAGGGACCAATGCAGACATGTTCCTGTTTTTAGTTTTCTACATTCGCCTTAGAATCTAGCTGTTTTTTTTTGTTGTTTGTTTTTGTTTTTTGTTTTGTTACCTTTTCCTTTTAGCCATCCTATTTGTAA